TCATAATCATACACAATTTTATGAAGTTATCATTTTGAACATAACTGGAGGTCTTGATGTGAATAGAATTTTGAACTCACTGGCACTACTGATGAAGATGGCCCAAAGCCTGTGTAACCTGGCAAAGCCATCAGTGCTGTCAGTGTGATGCTTGTTTCTTGAGCTACCTGATAATCTCTCTTCATTGAGAAAGCATTTGCACAGAACACTCTTCCTGGGTGTTAAATTCAAAGCAGTCTCATCTGTCCATCATTAAACTGGAGTGTTGTACCTAGGATAAATTTTTGACAATTAATGGAGACTTTTATCACAGAGGGACACTACAAGTTTAGGAGGTCCTGTTTGGTGACAGGCTGAGTGGGTTTGAAATACAAGAATCCTTACTGAGTTGAACAGTGAGAGAAATTCATTAAACAACAATGTATATATTCATATTTTGTCAATATACATTGATAAGTAAGTCATCAATAAATAAATCTTAAAATAAACCAAGACTATGCCTCAGGTTCTTCTAGGTAAGTATGAGGGGCAGGAAGAAGTACCATTCAATACCTGAAACAACTGCTACCTTTGTATCTCCTTCTAGGATAATACTGTGGTCCTTTTAGCCTAACTGTTTCCATCTTCTATTATTGCCTATTTTATAGATAAAAGTATGGGCTCTCTATGAACCTCCTAGAAGACACATAAACAAAACATCTTTACCAACGAGTAGGCAATGAACAACAGCGACAGTAAACTTGCCACAATCAAGCAACATTTCCTATTCATACATGTGCTAATTCTGTCACATAAGCAAAATTTGAAGAGAATGGAAGAATCTTGAACTATATGGTACAACCTGAAATGGGATAAAATGTAATTTCCCATTGGATGTTGACAACAAGCAGTATTTTAGAGAAGCAGAGATCAGTCATATTAGACCACCGTGAAAAAGATCAGACAGACAGTATTTTGCCTAGATATGACTAGCAATCTGGAATTATAATTCAGCTGCCACTAGCACATCTGCTGGTTTGTAGGGTCTGCATAGAGACCAAAGTATAAACAAATAAATTATGTTGGAGAGTCTGCCTTTAAAACACAGTTTTTACCTTTAGTTCCAAGACTGGGTTTTGAGAACTTTCTAGGAGTAACATCTGGAGTCCACATATGAAATCAAATATCTCAGTTTAAGAAAGACTCTTCCTCTTCTCAGAAATGACTCAGGTGAGCATCATGACAATCTCAACTAATTAAAAGCTGTGTTTATTTCATAGTTGCTTGCTAAACCAGAGATGGTATCAGTGTTCAGTCCCTTTAGCTCTCGACAGGCAGTCTTGTGATGAAGGAGAAACTTCCATAACTGGCGGTGGTGGTAAGAAGGGAAGTTAGTACCTGGGTTTTAATTACTAGAATGTGACTGTGGATAAAGATGCCAGCCATAGTTGATTACACTTAATTGATTTGCTCTTACAATCTTAAAGAGTACTGAATTAAAGATAAAGAACTGAAGAGTCCCTTTGGGTGAAAAGCCATATCAGCTTAGACTGTAAAGGTCTACAGCAGATAAATAAAAAAAGGTAAAACTAGTCTTTGGAGATTTTGTATTATGCAAAAAGAAACATAAAACCAATTCTTATCAACAGTATTTGTATTAGTAATCCATTCCTTTGAGAGGCTAGCTGGAATAATAAGTAAAGAGAGAAAACAATAGTGAACTTGCAGCATCCTCCTTTGACAGTCAATTAAGAAAAAGTTGTATAGGAAAAAACTCAAAGATGAAAATTTCCTAAATGAGAATGTGGATGCTAATACTGCCCTTGGCTTGCACAGTAGCCAAAATCTGGGAAGAAACTGATCGAATACAGACAAAACCCCAGAAAGTAGGTGCAACAGTGATACTCAGCATGAACTTTAGCATAACTGGGGAACTGGTAGATTCATTTCAGTTTTCTGACTCCCCAAAGCAACCACAGGATAATCATGAACAGACAAAATATTTGGATGATCACAAATATGAAAAATGAGAAATGTGGTGCAGCCACTTAGACATACTCCAAGAATATTACAGGATGAAAAGGCAAAATGACAGTATTTGGACAAGATCACCACATTTTTGTTATGTCTGCAATTCACAAAATATCAGATACAAATAACGTGTGTGGGATGTGATACAAAATTTTGAACATTTGTTCCTGGGTCTGTAAGCTGTTTGTGTATTATTACATAACCACTGACCCACACATGTGGCATGCTAAGTATTTTATTATTTAGTATAGTAATTCTGAACTTCCATCAAAAGTAAGGACTTTTATAGAAAATACTTGTATGTTAGGTAGGAAAGAGAAATTACTAATATAATATACCAGTAACAACTCTTCAAAACTTAAACTCAGTTCATCCTGCCACCTATTATGCAGGCATTTTGTTACTCACCACAGAGAAGGGCAAGTAATCTTCTTTCCTTATGTAAAGCCCCTGATAATGCTCTCTCTTTTCTACAGTAGGAATGTTATGATACACAGTATAGGAATAGTGATATGACACACCACAGGGAGCACATGTTTACCTCATCCCCAACTCCTGGATGGATTCGTTTTTCTGGAAAATTTTCATAGAATATGAAGATGGATCCCTTTGTACACAGAACTTTTCCCAAGCAAATTCTCTGTTCCTAATTCTCTACTCTGCTGCCACAACTCAAACACACTGACAAACCCTGTAGCTTATGCTATGCTAACTTCTCCACATTTTCTCTAAGTCTCTGTTTGAATCTTCATTTTGTATAGAAGAGACGCTCAGGGACACTGCAAACTTTGTGTCTTCACACCAAGAGCCTATTCCTACCATTCCTTTGTATATTCCTTATACAAACACCACAAATATCATGTATCTCATTTCAGCTTTTATTTGGGTATTTTTAAGTTAAGTTGCTCAAGTCCATTTTCCATCAATACAGACACTAAAAATTGAGATCAACATTTAAGGCAACATTAGCATCCATGCCAAGCTCAATATGCAAACCTTATCATCTAAGCACCACAGCATCCAAGAACTGTCACAGGTCCCCTACCTCCGTCACACATTCCCTTTCCATTTTAACTGTGCTATCCCACACTACACTCAGTAATTCAATTTAGATGCAACATTCTCAAGTAAGACTTTGTCATTTTTAAAATTTTATTTCTTATGAACTAGATCATTTTTGCATAAGGTGATATAAATGAGTGAGATACGTTTCAGGGTGAAAGTATGTGGTTGATTTTTTTTTTTAAATATGTTTAACATAATTATTCAACAATTTAGTATGAACATCATATGTATTTAGCCTTTTAATAAAGGCTATACACTGAGACTTGTTAGAATGATAATTTTGCTTTAAATTCTGATTTCTTTAGTCTTTAGTATTACTGTTGACAAGTGTTTGAGTTAAGGATGCTCAGGTGCAACTTTTATGTACGAATATTTACAAGTATACAAAAGACCACATAGTTTTTAATACACCCATTATTCTTAATACAGAGTAAATAAGGATTTGTCTTGTGCCTGTGGAAATATTTCAACATGTAGGTCTTGATTTTTTCTCTTTTACAGTAAAAGGAAAGGTTTTACTTTTCCTTAAGAAGTGTATTTATTACAAGATGGTTAGCATACATATATCACATAACATACAAGAGTTAAAATTAACTAGTTACAAAATAAGTAGTGGTACGTATATTTTCATATAACCTAAGAACAGGATCAGTATTTTACAAAGTACATATAAAAGTACTTCATATACAAAGAAAAATACAAATGTGCAAACACCATTGCCACAGGTGGAAATTTCTCAGTTGAAAAATGCTAGAAAAATCCTTCATAGTTTTGTTTTGAAATTGCAAATGCATTAAAAACAGCTGCATTTCCTATTGTGTGTGGTGAGAAATTTATGTTCCTTTCTGACAAAAAACATTAGTTATAAAAAAAACCACAAACAATTTAATAACTGAAAAATCTTATAAGTATAGTCAGTTGGGTTAGGCTGACATTAAATTACAAGCAGAACGTCTGGAAAAATGAGAAAATAATGAATCATATATACAAACCTTTTGTAATATTAGTGTGCTATTTAACATATTAACATTTCAAAATAAAAACAATGGCTTAATTACCTACATATTCTACTCAATGTCATCAATATTTGTAGACTGTAAAATTTCTACTGATTTGGGGCTATTAAAAATGTTTCACCAGGATTTTAAGCTCAACAAACACAATTTTATCAAATGTAAAAATCTATAAACAGTCTTCCAATTCATGTGCAAAAAATGTTTAAAAAGTATCAAATCACAACACATCAAACCTGATTATGTACATATTTAATATCTGTAAATGTTGTTAACTAGCTAGTATTGTTCTGCTATAAATAACTTACCTCTGTCCTGCAAAATGTCTGCATTTTAAAGATTTCAGTGCAAGTGCTTGCTTCATTGTTTAGTGCATTATCATGTTTGTTATTTTTTATTTTACAGTGAGCAGAACAGCATATAAATTAACATATACAACTCCCACATAAGAGATCTTTCTTCTACTGAATTCCTAGTTTGTTGTTTTCCATTTCTCCTGGATAGTGTTGGCCAGTTTTCTTTCATTTATCCCATTGTAATTGCAAACAGAATCTAAAATAAAAGTGCTGTGATTTTCAGATAATCCCTAGAATTTGAAATTCCATAACAACATTACAGAAGCGCTCAGTAGAGCACAAGATTAGAGAATAACCTGCACACTGAGAAGACACTTGAAAGTCTAGTATCGGGTAATTTCACTTTTTGGTCTTTAAAAATATTAACTACCTATAAACATTGGCAACCGATACATGTGTCACTGGACTGACAAGCTTTATTTCTTTATTTTTAGGAATTGTAGACATGTTCCCCTTTATTCATGACTAGCTTGGATATAAGAACATTCTGTTTAAAAACATAAATGAAGTGAAAATACACTTCCTGTTGGAGGGAAAATTTCTACAATTTCCTTTGGACAGGTTTCCTAACAGAATAGCTCTGAAATGAGAAAACCAGGATTAGATGATAGTGCAAATACAGCCCAGTTTTATAGCTAGGAATTGTACTGAAGAAAGCGGAAATTCAGAATAAATGGATTATTATTTTTCAAAGTCCTCCCTGCAGGAAAAAATTGCAGTTACAGTGGTTAAAATTATTAAACAGAAAAGGAACTTTAGCGTATTGTGAACTTTTATGGCTGAAATGTAAGGAAGGCTGGTTGTCTGTCAGTAACATTTCAGAACTTAGCTTCTTACAGGAAGAGGTGCTTTAAACGTGTCTTTATTATGGAATGTTTTTCTTTTCTAAGCATCCGAAATGCAACTCTGGATCCTATCCATCCACTGTTGAGCACTCTGTGCATCTTGGGCACAAAAATTATATACACGTTTATTTGTCTTCAACTGCAAAGGGAAAATAAGAACATGTAGACAAGTCAACACACAAAACAGAAAAAGAAACTTGCAAAAGCTTTACTTTAAACTGTAATACTCAATGTAATAATTGGGTCTGAATGTGACATTTTTTTGAAGTTCTGCTGCTGAGAGCGAGGGCCAGATGCTAGCTGTGTAAAAACTTTTTGTCTTGAGTTGTCATGACAGCTCCTTCCCAGCTCACACCCTCCAGCAGGACTGAAAGTAGTAGGTTAAACACACCAAGAAAAGAAAGTTTCACATAAAGATCGAGTAAAGACCAGATACACTTACATCAAAAAATGCTTTTTCACTTGCGTGTTTTGGGGCTCCAATTGTTGGAGAAGCAGGAATCACAGTTTCTACTTCTGCAAGGTCTATGTGTCCCTTACAGCTTGTATCCTCACCAGAATCATAGTATCGCAGCTAGACCACAAGAGAGAAAAAAAAAAAATCCAAATATGCTATTTAGATGGACCTTTCATTACTTCTTCCCTTTTCCTGGATACAGCATGGGGGCATGCAGGGGTAAGGGTGGGAGGCACAAATATTGTGAGGACCTGAGGACATCAGATATGGGAAATTTCTAAGACACAACTGACAGAAACCATAGGTTTGGTATATACAAAATGGTGGGACTGGTGATAGCTGTTAACTGGCCAGTCCTCTATTTGACATCTCTGGGTAATAGCAAAGTGTCCACCATCCGCTCCTGTGTGGACACAGAGTTGGTGGAGGAGCATTTTGTCAGCAGAGTTGCAGAGCAGAGAAGCTTGAAATAGTCATGCATTGCTCTGGGCAGAGGACGTGCGAAGGATGAAAGCAGAACCTGGTCTTCAGGATTCAGCATTCCTTACCAGTTTTTCTAACAGAAAGCACCTCCTCACTGTTCATTACTTTGAAACTAACACAAAAGCTTTACTTCACCAAGGAGTTAACAGAACATTTACTCTATTTCAAGAATTCAAAATGATCAGCAAAAATTTAAGTATAATTTTACATAATTATAAACTACATAGAAAACTCACATTTTCCTATACTGCACTTAGTGGTTGAATGAAGCTTGCTTTTTTTTTCCCTCCTTGCAAAGATACTTTGATATGAATGTTAACCACTCTGTAAACTGAGTTTCAATATGCAAACAAGTTCCAGAAGAGAAAATCTGATACTTGCTTTCCAAAAAAAAAAAAAAAAAAAATCCCATAATCCAAGGCAAGACAGTAAAGCAAACCTTCATGGCAAAGGTCAAACAACAGAATTCCATCTAAGATTGACCTGTATTACTCCTACAGCTGTGATACTCAGGAGGGTATCTGGATATACAAAAAAATCTTGAAGTATTTTTTCCTTCTACAAAATGAACCTTTTCTCCTGTATATCAGGAAGAATAATTATAATCAGCACATTTATTGGTATTTTACCACACTAATCTAGAAATCCTCAATTAGCATTTTAAAAGATTACTGTCTTTACCTATATTACATATTTTTTAAGTGTATTGATTACAATAAATTAATATTGTTAAACAAAAGCATACATGAGTCTCAGAGGTTACAACCCACACTGTGTGGAATATTTGGCTCAATGAAGATTACTGCCTGATGACCCAACATTATTTAAAGTACGTAAGACCACAAATTTCCACTGCAGAATTCCGGCATACATTGTAAATTGGCTAATATGTTTAGACCAACAGATCTCCTCTGTTTTTAGTGTTCCTTGTTGTACAATGATTTGTCACAATATTTATGAATACTTTTGCTACTAAATTTACGTCACTATGACTAATCTAAAATACTCCTATATATGACACCTGAAACTATTGTTCAATCTGGAACTTGGCATTTCAGGACTTTTAGAAATACAGATCTGAGATGAAATTTTAACTCATTTTAAGTCATTTACAAAACTCAGACTCATTTCAGAACAATCTGTGGTCCTATTCTCCATATTTGAAAAGAGCTTCATACAACGATTCCAGGCCAGCTTTCTCAAATACAGGTTACTGAAAAATGCTAAGAAGTCAAGTGAGGTAAACGGATTGTTCTGCTGAAGCAATTCAGATCACAATTTTCCAAAGTATATCATGCCCTTTCATTTGCAAAGAAAGATGCTCATGGCAAAGTGCTTGAGGAACAAAGAGGCTGTAAAATACACACTGAACATATAGTAACTACTACAGTTTCAACATGAATGCCTGAAATAAATTTACTATCAGTTACCATATTAGCTGTCAGAATCCCAGTTGCACTCTAGGAAATACCTTCTAAGTTTTTCACTCTCTAGTTCAGAAAGAGCTTTTAGTTCTTTTGGAAACTAAAGAGGTCATATTAAAGGGCAAACTATGCTCACCACTTAATTGCTTAATGACATTCTAGAGTTAGCAGTGCTTTAAAATGTTGCTTTATTGCTTGCGTACCACAGTGCCCAGAAAATATCCTCAGGCACTACCTGGTGGTTTTTTCCTGATGTAAGAAGCAGGCAAAAAATGTTTGGGCACAAACAATAAAGTATGACTTCCAGTTCAAGAAGTCTTTTATGATTATATGCTAAACGGTTATCACTGTTTTTAAAAAGCCAAAATACTAAAACCCCTCTGTCCATTCAGAATGCTGTATCAGCTACAAGATACACAAGACAAACATAGATATATGGTCTATAATGACGTAACACACGCATCGCATCTGAAAATAATAATTATTAGTATTATTTGTAAAATCAATCTATACAAACCCAGTAAATAAAAAAGCAGCAAACTAGTCATAAAAACATACATTATCTGAAAAGGTTTTACCTGGTGTTTTGTCACATCCAGCACAAACCAGCGAGGTTTCCAACCTTTTAGTAAAGCTCCTCTTTTGTATAGCGTACCTTCAAAAGATCTGAAAGGTACAGAAAATATAAATGGCACATGATTCTGTAATACAAATACTGGTGATATATAAAAGTCTGAAAATGACTACATACATGTTCAAGCACGTCTTTTACTGCAGTTAAACAAATCTGTTTTAAACGAATAGTTTAGTTATCGGTAACTCTGATACACTGATAAATGCTGTTTCAGTACTTTGGATGCACTAAATGTGCAGCTACAATTTGCTTGTGCATATAAAGAGGAAGATTGAAAGATACTGCTAGGAGATAGAGGTCCACCCATCAAGGCAACTAAATGTAATCAAAACCACAAAGAAGGAATAAAGTAGTCACAATGCATTCTGTGCACATGAAAATTTCTTTTTTTTTGCTAAGGCAGAGACTTGTACCAATCTACAAAGTTCATAAATACTCTATGATTATTCAGTTTACCTATTTTCATCACTCTTTGATGTGAAATGATTGTATAGCGTAGTTGTTCTTCTATCTACTCCATTAGAGGGAGAGATGCTTGCATTCTGTTCCTCACCCATCCCACTGTCAGGTATTTCCAGCAAAGACCTCTTTTGATAGGAATGTAGATTAGCTGACATCATCCCTGAGGAGCCAGAAGGATGTCTCCGGAGCTAAAAAAGGTGAAAATAAAAGTAAAAGGTAATGCAATGTGTCTTGTGTTGTGAGACTGTCTCAACATTATGCCAATAATACGTGGTAAAACATGTAAGTTATGAATTATTATGAGGCAAAAAAAAAATCTTCATAATACAAGTCAGTGCTGCCTCAGAAAAGAAGTCAGAGGGATGGCAATTCAGGGAATTTCTTAAGCAGAAGGGTTCACGTGGTGTGAGAAATCAGCATTTCAGAAAAGCCTTGTATATTCCAGTGACATAATCTCGAACAATGTTTCCCTTGCTTTCTCAGAAGTATCTAGAACTAGTCAGACATTTGGATGCAATAAATTTCCCAAATTTCGTAGGAAAGGAAGGGAAGGGAAGGCAGGGACGGAAGGAAAAAAAGAGTGCAGTTTCCAAGAACTACGTTACGGATCCAAATCATTTTAGTAGAATCTCAATAACCTGGAAAAAGAGGGATCCTGAATTTGGACTTAATCTAAAGTATCCTAGAGACAGCGTTATTTGGGGGTGACCCTTAGCTATTGCATTTATCTGAGAATCCTTAAATAACAGCTAGGACAGGAAACTGATAGCAGGTATATTTATACTTGTGTTTTCTTTTCTGCTTCCAATTCAATACAAAAATCCTCTGCTTTGCTAGGATAAAACTTTTTTCATCTTGAATTTGTCTAGGGTATAAAGTGAACTTGAATGAGTCTGACAGGCATAAAGCATATTGCTTTCCTGAGAGCAAAGGACAAATAACAAAGTAGTGCTGCAGACTACCCATTGCATGGAGGTTGGCAAATTTGAACAAGCACATGAAGCTGAAGAGTTAGGGTACAGCCTTGAGCTGGTAACTCACTGTGTCAAGTTTATAGGGAAAGCTCACAAAAAGCAGTATCTAACATTCTTCCTAGTGCATGCAGATAGCAAAGAGGCAGCCTTTGACTTAGAAAATATCTATATTGTCAGCTATTCTCTTTACTGCAGTCAAGAATTGGAAACATGAGCATGAACACTTCCTACCTTTACTAGAATCTACAATTCCAAAATTCCATTTAGACATGAAAATATCATTACTCATCTCTGAAACTCTGTGACGTCCTTTTGGCTACTTTCAGGAACTGAGTTTTTTTGTACTTCAAGAATCTTTTAAATATATAAAGTCATATATTTGTGTATTAGTAAAATGCTCATGGTCATTGCGTGTATGCTTTAATCTACTCTGGAAAAGCAATTAGATAAATAGCACAAGTATAATTATGTTTTTCTACATGCAGAAATACAGAGCCAGTATCATGGGTTAGAACAACATATTCAATTTTTCAAAAGCAGTATTTTACTCCAAGAAATACAGTCATTTTGTCAGTGCCCCAGGTAGCCTATATAGTAGGCACGGAATTATTCTATTGGATAAGCTCTTTTATTACTTACATTGTCTTGTCTGGTGTCATCCTTTAGATTCATTTTGACCCTTTCCCACAAAAGCTGCCACCTTTCTGGGCTCTGATTTAATTTACTTTCCAACCTTTCAATTTCCTGAAACAAATAACAAGGGTTTTCTTAAGGATAAACATTTCTAACTGATCACTTCCTGGCAATCATTTTTATACAACCACGTTCTAGTCAATATTTTTACGCAAGGAACTTTTAGGCCACGTTGCCCAGTAAAGTACAAAACCCTCTGTCAAACCAGCTATAAACTGAAATCAGTCAGACTCAGGAGTCAAAGGCAACCACGTACAGCGTTAGCCACATCATTCTGCTTGCATGTCACAGGTTGGAGGAGCCACTGTGCTTTCAATTCCCTGCCAGTTCTCCTGAACACACAACATTCAACACCAATTGCCATAATAGAAACATGACAATGATAAGGATAGGCTGTATTTTATAAAAATATTTATGAAGAACAAATTCTGTGCTGTGACACCAACATCGTACATTGCCAATATTAACATTTACCCTGGTTTATAAAATGTGATACAAAGCTGTAATAAAAGACGGAAATGAAACAGAAAGATTTATTCAATTTGGATGCCAAACTGTAACAACATGTTCTTGTTGTGGAACTTGGGAATATGACCCATGTCGATAACCTCCAGTTAGGGCTATTTCCTGTTAATAAGACAGTGCATGCAAAGTTAAGTTAAAAGAGGCAATTTCATTAGTTTATGTTTACTTGTGAACACTCATCGATACATTTGTCATTACTTTGATGTGTGGTCCATATTCCTTGGCATGCTTGCTCTCTATATTTTTACTTTCAACAACTATATTGTTGAGAAAATCTGATTCTTAATGAAATCAAATTAAAAACTCAATTTTGCAAATCCAATTAAGAATTGATGATGGAACAAAAAATTGCCATAGGACAGAGAATTCTCATCCTATATAAAAGCCAACTAAAACCCAAGAAATTTATTTTCAAAGTAGAGGCAGTAAGTCTCTGACTTTATTTACTTCTACTATACCAAGTGATTGAAGCAGATTTCATAATATTCTCCAACTCCTATTGGTCTTTTAGAATGACAGTTTCTTCAGGAAATTGTTATTGATTGAAAGACTTACAGAAAATGACTATATTTTTAAAGGTAAGAAAATATTTTGACCAGGAAATTAACTCTTGAGCTAAATTTTGAACTCTGAAGTGAAAATAAAAAAGCCAGTATTTGACAGTGTTAACAGGAACAAAATATTTCTACCAACTCTTCCTGGCTGAAGGTAAACTAGGAAACTCGAAAGTAAAACTAAATATAAGAAATCTGGCTTAACAGCAAGAATCAAACCAGAAGTTTTAAATGTGGAAGGCAGTTGAAAGCCACATATATATTAAATATTATGGGACACTCTTCCTGCCAAGAAATAAAACCAGAACAGTTTTGTTTGGAGTATCTTCATAGGTAGATACAAAAATAAGGAATGGTGAACACAAGACAGACTAAAGGCTTCTTTAGATTACTTGTTCCTCTTTCAAAGTGCTCAGTGTAAAATGCTTCCTGATGGGATACATACAACTGAACCAATTTACCACAGACTTTTTATGTAAAAGGCTTTCCAAATTGCTGCAAAAGGATACAAGCTCTTTAGTGCTAAAAGTTCGTCAGGTTTTAATCTGATCATTCTCTTTCTGCCCTAGTCTTGACTTCTGAGTATGAGTTTTTCTGTGCAGAATCTGGAAGTAAGTGAAACTTGTTACTTAGCAACTGGGTCACATTCCTTCTTTTTTGGCTCCACAATGAGTAGTGCTTCCAGAACTTAAAATGAAAAACTTTCAACAATCTCCTACATATAACTTGAAAAGTTAGGAATAAATTCTCCTTTAATAAACCCCATGTAAAAAACTTATATGGCAATAAATCACTAACATTTACTCCTGCCCCTTCAGTTTTAAATTTTACTGAAAACATCAGATTTTTTTCCTTCCATGTATGGAATGGAATATGAATAGCTGCATTTCCTTGAAAGAAAAATGCCTTAAAGTTATCTTTCTGGTTCATCTCCTGTTGCCTAGACTTACAGGAGCAGAAGTCAATATGTATAAAAAGAAAGGTTATAACAAATACAATTGTATGAATATCCATTTCCTGAAATTAGTAATTACAAGCAATTAGCATTGCTGTGCCTTTCAAAAGATGTATCTGCTAAGTAATCTGCTTCGTAATATTTGAATGGTACAGACAGGAGTTAATGCTGCAGACACTCCAGAACTGTGGAAACTGTTCACCTCCTATGTATCCACAATGTGTTTGTGCACACAAAAAACAATCTGGACAAAGTCCTACACTAGTGAATTGTCTTGACTGTGACATAGCACCCTGTTTTGGAAGTCCTTCCTTGTTAGCATTTTCTCTTCAACTCCTGGGCTAGAAGGCTTCTGAGACTTTGACTACAAATGGAGCGGTGCTGAATGTGTATCCAATGATTGAATTGCTGCCTCTGTCAAGTGTTCAGACCTGTGTGTGCAACAAGTTGTACATGACTAGTTGTTCAATATTTGGAATAAACTTTTTGGTTCAGGGTCCACTTTGATGGATTAGCCTTTCTAGCACATAACCAAAAGTTATAAAACAGCTCGCAATCAGAAGTGCCATTTTTATTGTTTTGCTGGTTATTCACCGACCCCTTATAGAGCTTCAGTTTTTTATGGCATATATTTATGGCAGAGTTAATTTGAGTGACTGGCATCCTGAAGTGGCATCTTTGAGTTTGCCAACCTCTTTCTGAGCAATCACCATCTAATGTTAAGTGATGTAACTGCTTATTTGTAAGAATAGGACATGTAGGTTCATCTCTCACAATTCTTAAAAGTACCAGAATCTGAGCCACTCCCAATGAATTATGGGGACTGAATACCTTTTTAGGAATGTTAGCAAATTAGTGGGAAACAGTGGAGATGTGTCTGCCCTCAAGGATTTGACTTGCATTTTCACCGAAATATAGGTAGATTGCTACCTCTAATACAACCAGCAACCAAGCATATACCACAGAATGGCTGAGGTTGGAAGTGACCTCTGGAGGTCATCTGGTCTGACCCTCCCCGCTGAAGCAGGACCACCTAGAGCCAGTTGCCCAGGCCTGTGTCCAGATGGGTTTTGAGTATCTCCAAGGATGGAGAATCCACAACCTCTCTGGGTAACCTGTGCCAGAGGTCAGTCACTCTCACAGTGAAAAAGTGTTTGCTGATGTTCAGATGGAACCTCCTGTGTTTCAGTTTGTGCCCATCACCTCTGGACCTGTCACTGGGCACCACTGAAGAGCGTTTGGCTCCATCTTCTCTACACCTTCCTTTCAGGTATCTATATACATTGATAAGATTCCCCCCGAGCTTTCTCTTCTGCAGGCTAAACAGTCCCAGCTCTCAGCCTTTCCCCATATGAGTGACGCTCCAGTCCATCATCTTCATGGCCATTTGCTGGACTCTCTCCAGTAGCCCCATCTCCCTCTTATACCAGGGACACCAGAACTGGGCATAGTACTCCAGGTTTGGCCTTAGCAGGGCTGAACAGAAGGAAGGGATCACCTCCCTCAACCTGCAGGCAGCACTCCTAATCCAACACAGGATACCATGAGCCGTTGTTGCTGCAAGGGCATGTTGTTGGCTCATGGTCAGCTTGCTGTTCCCAGGACCCCCAGGGCCCTTTCTGCAAAGCTGTTTTCCAGGTGGGCGCTCCCAGCATACGTTGGTGCATGGGGTTGTTCCTCCCCAGGTGCAGGACTTTGCACTTTCCTTTGCTGAATGTCACTTAGGTAAGTTAGTTCATTGTAACGTATCACAACGTACTCATGTCAAACGATCATTTAAAGAGCTAGTCTTTATGGGAAACATTTAACCCAGAACTTTAGCCTGTACTGAAGACATGGCTCTTGGATGTGCTACACTGTGGCATTACCTTATTGAATTTTACAAGAAAGGAAAGCAAATGCTTACCCG